TGCCTTTTGAAAGGATACTGTTCTTAACATATTCCTTTAGTTATAAAAATGTGAATATATTATTATGTTGATATATTTTCTTATAGTTTAATGTTTGAAACATGAATGATTCATTGCAGGTAAATCATCTGTCTGTAACATGACAAACAGATTCCTGAATCAGAGTGCTGACAACTGAAATAATTAATCAGCTTGAGCTTTTAGAGTTATTGTGTAAAGTTTTATTGTTTTCTTACTGATTTATTAACAGAAATGTTTCAAAAGAAAATGTTTGATATATCTATATACTTTTTATATATGTGTTAAATATAGATCAAAACAATATAATAGCTTGTAACTTGTATCTTTAGTATACATATATTATATATACGAGTGTGTCCTTCTAAGGTTTCTTTTCAATTTTGCTCCAGAATGTAGTGATGAAAAAAGAGAGCAACAGTCACCGAGATGAAAATCAATGGCAGGAAATAGCGTCATCTGGCAAATGATCAAGATATGGTGGAAATAAAGAACGTCTAGAAAACTAAACAATTTAAGAAGATCATATATATCAGGACTCCTGGAGGAACCACAATTGACACTTGACATTATAAAATTATTTACAAATTACAAAATGCTGTTTAGCTCTGTTCAACATGATAATGTGAAAACGTCAGCTATAGTCTTTTAATCTTTTTAACTCAAAACTTGTGATCACTGGAGTATGAATCAATGTGCAAGATCTAAAATACAGTTACTAAATTTATCAAAGATTACATCTTGACACTTCTTAGACAGATTTCAGGTCTACAGGATGTAAAAAAGCAAAGGAACAAGTAAGAAAAATGCCACTGAGCTTATTTTATCTTAACAAAAAGTAGTATCAATATAGCAAGGTTGTATTTGCCAGTCACATGACTTAAGTATTTTTGTTCAAACATTTTCATTTTGATTAATGTTTAAATTTTATGTGTGTTAGCAAGAACATACATGGTTTTTAAATATGAAAGTATTTATGTGTAAATATATTATGTATATGAATGTTTAATTTTGGTGATGTAATAGATGTTTTGCAAACTAAATATATGTTCTGTTATATGTTAAGGAAAGCAAACCAATATGCTATAAGAAAGAAAAAAGCTTATTATGAATGTAGGTAAAAATCGACTTTAAGTTGGTAAACCGATATCGGCATCCGATATCGGCCCGACTTTGAGCCGGGTTGCACCACCGATGTCGAGCCGACCTTGGATGCCAATATCGGGCCGACATTGAAGATGATATCCCTATATGTAATGTTTGCTGGGTATGTATTTGATCACAGTATGATAACGCTTTGATTCTGATACGCCTGAATAGCTCTTTGTTACGGTGTTAACAGGAGCCTTCAGCTAAACATAGTTGAAAAAAAATGGATGAAAAAGGACAAAAGCCTGATATATAAAAGTCCACACAAATCTATGTCATTTGGGTAAAAGCATATGATAGAGTTGTTCAAATTCCGATGCCTAAGGGCGATGGGTAGTTTGTTATTACAGTTACTACCGAGACGTTACACTTACAAAGCTTTAGAATCATTATCAGACATGACACCCTATGCTAGGCTTTAGGCATGTTAGTCTACTTCAACATAATGCTCCAAGACATACAATACAATACAATACAATACAAAATTTTATTCAGCATAAAACATAAACATATGTTTAGAGCCAATACAAACAAAAATGTTCAGCGACAGACATGACAAAAGAAATGAAATTTTATCCGAAGAGAGTAGTTCAAATTACATAAACAATTCTCACAAACTGTCTAGATATACAAAAAAATACTAAATATATTGTTACATATATATATTAAAAAAGAAGTTCTAGTTATTAAGGAAAAAATAGAGTTAGTAATAAAGATATTTAAATTTAGAGAGTGTATTATGAGATGCGGTTTTTCATTGCAAAATAAATATATTTTGCTAAGTTCAGTAGAACAGATTTAGATTTTGATGACATTAATTTTTCGAATTTAGTGATATTTGGCCAACGACAATAATATTGTTTAAAAAATTTACTTCTTAAGTCACGGTGAAATGGACATACTAGCAAAAAATGGTACTCATTTTCAATGGTTTTCATATTGCACGATTTGCAGAGTCTCTGTTCTCGTGGAGTATCATTATATCTTCCAGATTCTATAAAAAGATTATGTGATGAAGTTCTAAATCTTGACATAGCAATTCTATATTTCTTATCAGTAATCACTTTCAGATATTCTTCTAATTCGAATTCATACTTAAAGACACAATATGACTGTAAACGATTGGAGTTATTGATATCAGAGTACCATTTTTGTAAAAAGTTATCAATAATTCTCTGTTTAATCAATGAAAAAGGAATATGGATTTCAAATTGATCATTCCATACATACAATAAACCATGTTCTTGTAAAATATTTTTTATTTGAAAAGCCCAATTTTTCCCATTATATTTTAAATTACGATCTGCATCTACTTTTAAAATTAAATAGCTTCTTCTAACCAGAGCAGTATCATTCTGTTTTAAAATTTTTATCCAGTACTTAATCATATTTATTTTTCGAATGAATAACAAAGGAATTCTTCCTAATTCTCCATAAAGTGTAGATAAATTTGTTGACTTTTTGACACCCAAAATGCGTCTTAAAAACTTAGTGTGAATAGACTCAATATCCTTTGCTTCATGTATACCCCATATTTCGGATCCAAAATTTAGAATTGAAGATAATAGTGTATCGAATAACTTACACTTCTGATCCATTGGTAGTTCTACATCGTTAAATATACGAAATAGATTATTCATAGCAAATGATGCATACATTAGAGATTGTACATCAATATTTGAAGATGGAAATGGTTATTTTTTGCCACATACACTTACAAGTTTCGACAGACCATTGGCTAAGCCATCAGTTAGTGCCTCAGAGGTCGTCTTAACAAAATGGATTAATGTATTTCAGATCAGGGAGACTAATTTGAAGGGATGAAATGTTCATTTGACTATTTGATTGGAATGTTTTTGAAATATCGTACATATATTACATAATCGAAGAAACCTTATTGACGCATAATTTAACTTTGAACTTGTGCAAAACTTATATATTGATCGATTCATTTTCATTCATCTGTATACAATATCAGAAATATCACTAATAAAATTAATTGGCAGTCAAACCGAATACAAACAATTTAATAGAACATTAATACATTTGTTGCAAACTTAAACAAAACACATTTAAAATTCATCTGAAATTAGATATAGCCTACTAAAATCGTATGTTCTAAAGTCGATTCGGAACAAAAAAAATCTATTCGGTACAGTTTTTTTGTTTGTTCTGTTTTCTTTTTTGTCGTGTCACATGTTTATACGCGAGCTTGGACGCTTTGAGGTCTTGTGAAATTACAACATGACATTTTCATAAGGTTACTTATGTTTAATATCGACCAGCAAATTTATTTTGCTCGTTGTTCGGTACATGTTTTGAAGAGCAGTATTTTAAGGGGAGATCAGTATTTTATTGTTGCAAAAAATATGAGTCCTTTGACTTGTGAATTAAATCTCTATTTGAAAGAGTTCATTCTTGTACGTAGGGCCGCGAAGCCGAGGTGGCTTTGTATGAATATTCTGATGCCAAAAATACTTGTTTCTTCATATTAAAAGCTATTACAAATATCACCACAATGTAATGTTCACAACACATACGCCACTTATCTGAATTGTACATCATAATTGTGTTTAAGGTAGAACGCGACACTTTGCAAACTTTCATGGTCAAAAAACGGGCTTTGATGGTTAACTTAGACGTCGTGTGTCCAAAAAATAGCTGAAACTATTCAACGGAACCTAATCAGAAATATGGTCAACCTTCTGCAAGTCAATTTTAAAGACGTTACTCGAAAGTTTGCAAAGCGTCGCGTTCTACCTTATTTTTACCTTCTTTGAAACTGGAACAGACCATTCAAAACTTTAAAGGATTTCAATACCACAACGTCAAATTGAGCCAACAACATGGTTAGAACACACAGACAGCTGGCTGGCTTGGGAGTGTATAATTATGTGAAAAGGCTAACCATGTCCGATTGGTAAACAGAAAAATTTTGATTCTTGCCAAAATATATGTAGCATGGTATGTTCAAGAGAAAAAGAAAACCCAGAGGGGACATTAAAACATTCCTACTTTGATTGGCGTAGTTCATGAGTGATTAAAGTCACTGTATCATCTTTAAAGTCATATTAAAATCCACCCTGAACATTTAAGTCATAATCTTAAGATTAAGAGAAATGAAACAATGCAAACAATATGCAAAGAATATTCAACATGAATAGTTAATTTTATAGTTTTATGTAAAATTAAAATATCTTCTTATTTAGGCAATTTAACAATACATTTTTGTTTATCGAAATAATTGTTTATTGATGTTTTAAGGACGTTTAAATTGCTGATTTCTCGTAAATATTGTATTGTTATTTCATTCATAAAAACTGCGATAAACTATCTGTTGTGCATAAATATTGAAAGGCTTTCATAGAGTAGAAGTTTATACTGACGTATACTGTCTGAGAATTCTTCAAACTTTCACAAGCGATACATTAATTGCGTTTTGAAGCCGTAATTGGTAATTTTACAGAACTTTTTTAAGTATACAATACAAAATAAAACCTTCATAATCGAAACGTGATATGGTTGTATAAAGTAAGTTTGCCCATTACATCACACAGGTAGACCATACTTCATACAAAAAGATGCTATTGTCAATGCTATTTTCAAAAAGATTGCATTCTTTTATAAACATGTATATTCTATTCTATTCCGACAGTAATTTGGAAATATAAAAGGAGCTTTAGTGATGGTATCGGACGTTCCCACGTCTTAATGCATATCACGCAACAAAAAACCCCCCAAAAAGTGGACTTGATATCGTGATAGGTGGAGCATACTTATATAACGTCCTGTTTTAACGTATAAAGCATCTATATCAGTTCTTTATTCATAGAGTCAGTCATAACTATCACAGTAGCAATAATGTTTGAATATTTCTCATTGTCAGCAATTGTGTTTGTTAGCGTTTTATGCTTCTCACAAGCGATTGACGACGAGCCAATATTTTCTAAATTTAAGAATGACAAACAAATGCTAGAGACAATTTTAAGAATGGAAGCAAAAATGGATCAGTGGGATAAAGAAAGAAAATTCTTCGAGGAGAATGTGCTTGCTATATTGGAACATCGTAGACGGGAAATGCAAGAGAAGTTTTTAAAACAAGATGAAAAGCTGGAAAACATATTTGAAGACTTCAAAGGCATCAGTGGCGACCGACAAATTTGGACATTACAACTTGAAAATATTACTGGTAAGATGATAAACTTAAGATCTTACATATCTTTAAAATGCAGAATGAGTTCATTTTCTGCAGGCTTGATGTTCTTTGTTTTTTCTTTTTCTTTTAACAAAAGAGGCAGCGGTCTTAAACTGATGTGTACATCATTACTGCGTCGTCGCAAACTTAGAATGACATGATCATTTTGGTGTTTTACTTATTTAACCTTTTGTAACCAAAACAGCTGTTAGAATTTCACTTGACAGGGATTCATTTTATTTACATTGTCTCGTTTATAACAACATGGTGGGGCTAAGAGTGAGGTTTGGTGCAACATTAACCGGTCTTAACTCCCCAGCAGTATTCATGCTGCTGACCGTTCAAAGGCAGTGCCCCTCTGTGTTCCTCAGATATATGTCTTTGTTGTTTCATACTGTTTTGGTGACACTTTTGCTTGTGTCCCTTGTTGTTTCCTCGTCTACGGTAAGTATCCTTCCTTTTGCCCCTAGTTTTATTTCTTTATCTCCCCTTTCCCGGGTCTCCTGTACCCTATCCCTGTGACCTTTAACTTTGTGGGCCATTTTTCAATCATTTATTTGTTTTCTTTGAGTTCTTTGTCAGTAACAAATTGTTTATCATTTTAATGATTAGGGTGTCCTAGCTCTGCCTTCCGCCCGGTCATGAATTTGTTTGGGGTCCATCTGGGCTCCTTGCCGCTGGTTCTTGTTGCTGGATCCTGTGGGGGTTGCGTTCATTGAACGCCGCCTTTCGTTATTGATCTTGCTTTTGTTGTCCACTGATTTGAAAAATAGATGACATCTTTTAAATTGGTAACGATGATAATTTGTCATCGTCGAATTAAATCAACCATAAAATAAATAAATTTTTGTCATTAACCTGTGTAAGTCAGTACAAAATCTTAGCAATATAAATCTTTGTAAACAATTGTCTTCACTTCTTTCTTGATATATTATTAAGCAACTACACAAATTAAAGGATTACATACATCACATTTTGAAAATTATAATGCAAAACAAACATTTGTTAATATCAATTAAGATCTTAATGTTGCATACCTCAAGATTCCTACTTATTACCAGGAGTCTTTTGTTATCATATGTGTACATACTTATCCATGTTACTCAGTATCTGTTTTTTATGTTGATTTATTACAAGGATGATAGAAAATGTACGTTTTTGTAGGTTCTGTCATCACCACACCAAAGATTGCATTCAATGCATACACAATCTCAAGTAGAAGCTATGATATTAACTCACCGGTCAAGTTTCCAAACGTTTTGTTAGATATTGGCGACGGATATGACAAATCAACTGGAATCTTTACAGCACCTGTAGCCGGTCTTTACTTCTTCAGTGCCCACATCTGTAATTATGATAAAGGATACATGATAATCTCTATTATCCATGAAGTAACTGCAGTCGCTACATCAACAGAAGACGAAATTTGTAGTTCCGTTAGCGCTCCAGCTATGATGAAGATTGGTGAGAAAGTGTCAATCCAGTATGTCTATCATTCAGGTAACCTCAAAGAAAACACTATATACAGATGGCCATCATTTGCTGGTGTTCTTCTTCATGTCTAGGGCATTTCGTCTCCTCACAAAAAAGAAACATATTCAATGTGTTGGTTCTTCACAACAATATGACATTAAACGCTTTGAAAATAAAAAAGAAACGTCTCATATTGTATTTATCACATAACACTGTCTCATTTAAGTTAATTTTGAAAGTGTTGTAACTTGTATAATGAGCATTGTACTTCTTTATTCCAAATATGTTTGATTGTATGTAGACTGCGTGTGAAATGAAAATGACGAATATTGTAGCAAAAACTGATTCATGTGTTTTGGGCCTTGTTATCTTTGTTAAACTAAAACTTAAAACAATTCTGTCAATTAAAAAACATGAATAAATATATAATCTTAATATTTGATTTGTTATGAATATTTAGTTTATAAACGGATCAGGATATCAAGCACTATCTCAAAAATAATAAGAGAACTGCAAAAGTATAACCCATGCCCCTTTGGCAAAATATATATCTTATATGTATCATTTTTTACGCAGCAAACGTAAATAAGCATTTTATTGTGCTAATGCCGAAATGGAAATGTATGTGGTAGTTTATCTTCTTTATGATTCTTTATACATCATATTATTAAGATAAGATAAAAACTATGATTATATCATCTTCATGAAAAAAATGATAAAAGTATTTTATATATTGGTGCTATAAAGATATTTGCTGCATTTGTAACGAAGAGTATAAGAATTCACGTTAATAGACTGCTTATAAGGAGTTTTTAATTTTTTGTTAATTATTTTATAAAGAATATTGACCCAAAAAAATGGCTGCCATTTTTGCAAGGGATGTAATACCATTACAATTGGGAACTGTCTATTAGAAAATAAACATATTACAAGAAGGACATATCTTGAACGTTGTAGTGTTCCGTGTTGTGGTTCATTTCTTTTATACATGACGTCGCCGATTTGTGCCTACAACTATTTAAGGAAATCAATATAAACACGGGAAGGCGCCGTTCATTATCTCCTGTTTTAAAGTATAAAACGTTTGTATTCCCGATTCCTTTATTCATAATTAACTGGTATTTGCAACATTAGAGAAGGATGGCTGGCTACTATTCATTTCAAGTAATTGTGTTTCTTACCGCAGTCTGCTACTCAACAGCAAGTAAACCTGATATAGAGCCGGAATGTTCAAAATTCAAATATGACAAACAAATGTTAGAGACAATGGTAAGAATGGAAGCTAAAATGAATCAGTGGAATAAAGAAAAGAAAGATTTTGAAAAGAACTTGTTGTCTGTGACGGAACGTCGGAAGGTGGAAATGAAACAAGAGTTTTCAAACACAATAAACAGATTGGCAACATGCATGATGACTTCGAGAAGATCCGTAATGAACTCAATAAAAAACGGCTCAACTGGAAAAGCTTGCTGTTTAGTAGAACAATATTGCAGTTTGCATGTATTTCTACAGACCGAACAAAGGCTAATGTTAATTGAATAAATGACGGAGAGATATAGCATCAACTATTTTATTTACTAGTCTCATTCTTTGTTTAGAGTGATTGTTTCTATAATAATAACTGTTGACCGTAACCAATAAACTAAAATTTAGCTTCATGGTTTCAATACAAAAAACTCTTTCTGTAGATCAAGCTTGACGAAGAGTGATTCTTTCTATAATAAAGTATTGACAATTGCACAACAAACTGAAGTTTATCTAGTCTGAATATAAAGTATTTAGAGGCATTTGTAGAAATAAGTAGCTAAATGAATTGTTATCAAACTGGTATTCTCTTCTCAGTTTCGTTTACAATTATTTATCACGAGTTTATTTTAACAAAAATCTGAAACCAAGAATCCCTGACATTGAGTTTAAAATCATTTCGTAATATTTTTGCTTCAGGTAATTTTACCACAACACCGAAAATAGTGTTTAATGCATATATAAGGTCCATCAGAAACTATGCCAACGGCCAAACTTTCGTCTTCCCAGATGTTTTTCTCAACGAAGGTGGTGTATATGACAAAATTACTGGAATGTTCACAGCACCTGTGGCTGGTGTGTACTATTTTAGCGTTTACATTTGTCATGAAAAAGTAAAATATGTGGTTGCAGCTATTGTTCATGGAGTGTACCTAAAATAAACACATAACAGCGCCTTGATAGGTTATTCAAATTTCAGATGGCCGTCCTTCAGCGGTGTTCGTTTGAATATTTAAACAAATACGCAAATACTGGACTATTGACGATATTATTTCATTCATACGGATATTCAAATATTAACAGTGTATATGTTTGTTTCATAGTGTTGTTAGATAACAGCAGCGTGCTCCCTTATATGCGATCTGATTCTATTTCTAGTTACTTACCGATGATCGTTTGCCTTCAGTACCGTCCAAGAACAGGTTCAATCATATCGAGCCTGCAACATTTTTTTTTCGTTTTTGACTTTCGCTAGGGATTCTTATTTTCTCTATTTCTTTTGCCGATATCTATTTAAATAGCTGAATATGTAAAGATTAATTTAGAAATACAGGCACGAGTTAAACAAAAAAATCATTTAGACATATTATATCTGTAAGATCTGTATATGTGATTTTATGGCACTTTACACTTTGAGATAAAATGTTGATCACTGTACTTTTGCTATTTTTATGAAATTTAGTGTTATTTTAATTTATTGCTATAGTCTGTTTAAAGATGATGATTCAAAGTTGTCTTCTTATGAAAGTTGTCCACATTTTATACATAATCATAATTACTAACAAATTACTTCCTCATTAAAAATCTTAACACACCAGTTGTAAAGCAATGTAAGAGATATCTTAAATGTTGCAACATGGTTTTGTTCAGTGTTTTTTCACTCTTCTGGTCCTGAGGGATAATTGATGTAGTTTTTTGATTTCAAGAATGTGCTAAGAATACAGACTTTGCAGTTACAATGGTGTGAGGATTTAAACACTTTGTATTGTCTCATATATTTATGCTTAAAAAAAAAGAATAAGCCATTTTTAGCAGTTATTGTCTTTTCCGAAGCCAAAAGCGTGTCTTCTTTCTTAACAGTAATAACATTTTTTCTAGTGCACTGATATAAGTTAATCTATTCATTCCACGTTGCTGAACAAGTCGACATCTGTGTTCTCTTGCATCTGTACGAATAAGCGCCGGTTTCTATCGGATTATAAACAAGCTACAATCATGCTACAATCATTGACGAGGAGCATTAAAACCGAGGACAAAAGTCTCAGATTTTGTAAAATATGAAAAACTGTGTTTTACGCAAGGTTATAATCATTAGTGCTAAATCATTTAATTTGTTTCGTTAATATTAGTCTGCATCGAATCGGCAATTAAAATAAGAAAAGACAACGATGTTATAATGATAGAGTAATTGTAATGATTAAATTTTCGTTTGCCGTGACTATAAAATAACATAATAATACGTTTGTCACGTTTCATAATAAATCATGTTAACTTAATAAATATAAAAAGAACAAAATGACAACGAAACATATACGTGTATTTTTTATATTATACTGAATCAATGGTACCGCCTGAGAAACGAACATGCATCAGATTCTAAAGGAATACACTCAATAATTGTGCATGCCTATCAATGTGTGTTTCTCGTGAGTTATAAATTGAAAACAAGACAAGAAACATTCACATTCTTGTTACATTTAGTGTTAGACATAATCCTTAACTTTTTTCATGCCCGTATTTGTGTGACGACTGTAAAACCAATCCCATATAGCCTTACTGCGGTCAAAAGAATCGTTTCAGATCCATATCGAATCCAATCTATCCGCATTTTCATTAATTTCTGAAAGTTTAAAATTTATATCAGATCTTTTTTTGTAATTGAAGTTATAAAGTTATGTCAAGTGTTGTGGTGTCTTTACAAAGCTGCAGCTCTACAATCAGACTAGGCTTGCGCATCGGCTAGTAAACCTATGACCTCTGTGTACTCGTCCAACATAATCAGTCCGATTCAACAATGTTTAAAATCAACAATTGTAAACACAGCTGCAAATTGCAAAAAAAAAAAAAAATAATGCTAGCACAGCATTCAATATGTAGGGCGACAAAATGATTATTTATTTTAGAGTATTCTTCTTCTTCTGTTGCTTTCATCGATCGAAAACAATGTGCATGCAAACAATCACAATAATTTATCAATAAACATTCAATTTGAATATTATTGAACAGGAAGAAAGATAAATGTTTGTAAACCAGATACACTTTGAATTACATGATTTTATAAAACACGATTTACAAGGAAAGGCGGAATGAATGCAATACCTACACGACCCAGCAAGGACTAGCGGTAAGGAACCAAGGAGGACCCGGAACAAAAAGCAGGACAGGGCATAAAGAAGAGCACGGACCACCAGTCCCCTTTTATGTAAAAAATAATGTTTCTTGTTGAGTTTTAGGTCACACCAACATAGTATATGACATATTGCGACTTTCAAGCTTTACTGATGGAGGAAGATCTCACATCCCAACATGCTTGCGCGGCTCGAACCTACAACTTTGAGAGAATGCGTTTAATGTAGAATATAAAATGAGAAGAACATTAAACTGAAACAAACAATAAATGATGTTAAGCTATAACTTGTAATTTTGAAACCATAGAGTAAAAGCAGTCCTTATTTCGGTAAAATTGGATTGATTGCTTTTACTTGCGCCCTTTACAATATTATTTTATTCAGTTTGTCATAAATATCACTGCCTGAAAAAATATATATGAAAAAGTCTAAAATCTAATTACAATTAAAAAAAACAACACCAACAAATTTAAAGACGAAACAAATGTAAAATCCCCTCCTTTCTCCTTCTGCTGCGTACAATGTTTCGTTCTGTGTCTCGGTTTGTGTTGGTGCTTCATTCTATGAACGTCGTCCTTGATAATCCTTTATTTTATTAAAAACGAAGAAATGGACGCGCATGTACAAAAGTCATTTAAACAACAAGAGGATAGAATGATATATTTATTGCTGTAATAATAGATTCGTTTTTATATGTTATATTATTGTTATTTTTGTTTGTTTTGTCATGATTATACAGTCTAAATTCCATATGTTTTTATAATTATACATTGACACTTTACCTGCAACCCATTTGCCGTTATCTAAATACTATGCAGCCTTAAGTATATTAAGTTTTATTACTATGATATATAATCATCCGTATCACCCTTTTGTAGCTACCGTTAAAAATAGTAAATTTAATTGGCACATCACAAATTGTATTAGATTATTGTTTGGGGTTAGAATTCAGATGTTACGGAATTCAAAAGAATCAGTGGTAACAGTTGCAGAACTTCGAGACCTTAAAGATATTCGGATTCAGATTATATTAGATGTTAAAAAAATCCAGAAATTAAAAAGTTATACTGAATTAAAATGTTCTTTTTGGCAATATCGCTTTACAATAAACTATACTTATATTGAGGCTATTCTTTGTCAAAAATCCAGCCTTTAAAACTTGACGATGCATACTTCGGTTCTACTTATATAAACACATAAGTTAAATCTAATTGTCGATCCGAGAGTTAAATATCGCACTGGTATAGAGCATTTGATTATCTCGATTTGATAAAATGGAAGCTGTAAAAATGCAACTTAGACACATTGCAAACTGTATTTAGACATGTGTAACTTCAAATTTGCGACATGTAGTTATGTAACCGATTGAATGTACACAACATGTCTGATGCTGTACATAATGACGTTGAGAATGTAACTACATCAGTTGACACTCTCAGGTTGACAATACCACAATTTCCTTTTACATTGTAACGCGATTAACATTTGTAAACGATTTTGAAACATCCATATATGGAAATATCACGGAAATAGACGACAATTAATAGGCGGAGTATAATAATGAGAGGTAACTGTTGCTGGTACAAAAGTATCTCAAATTATATAAAACTGTTATAAATTTCCCATACATCAACTGCATTACAGTTGACTTTTACTATCCTCTGATTTTGTTTAAACGATTCTAACTACAGGATATACGTAATGCAAAATTGGTTAAGATTATAATGTAACAATTAATGAATTAACATAAGGGAATGCTTCCCATATATAAGGACACAAACCACATTTGTGACATCAATAGGATGTGTGTGCGTTCAAACGTTATGTTATAATGGTCGTATTCGAACGCATGCCTTTTACTTTCAGCAAACAGTACTAGAATGCGATACCAGGAGTCACTTTTGGCAACACTAATAAAGGGAACTGAGCACTTCTTTCTATATTGGGTTGAAGGAAAACCCACATTTTTAACCAAATAAATAACAACGGAACTATTCAATGTTTACTGTCGATAATTCCGTTGTACAACTAGAAACGAGTGAATGTGTCCCATTTTAATGTTGAAATAAATATGCAGTGTATCCTAGCATCTCTGTTTACCTCCATTGGGATATATTTTGAGCCATGTGATCACAGTTAGCCTTTAATTATTAAATATATGTAAGTTGACGTAGGTTAATGCTTCATTTATTCATTGAACCTTATCAATAACAGTTCTAAAATATGTGTATGCATGCTGTCAATAGCTGTTATCAAACTTGCTGTCTGTCTGATAAAAATGGATAAATCTGATGAATGGTAATCGCGCAAGCGAATTATGTTTGGGTGTGGTAAATGGAAACTACACCGGTGCATGTTCTTGTTTCCTTCTTGTCGCTGACGGAAAATACCGAAAATGAGAGGTTAAATATGTTTATTTGCGATGACGTAATGGGCGGGAAAATGATCGGAGCTTATTTTACCTCATAAGCTGGATTACGCTAATCCGAATCATGATTGTTTGACAATGTTAAAGTAAGAAAGTAACTTCTGTTTTGTCGGCGTTTAATGAACAATGAGTATTTCGCATGTTATGTTGAACACTTGGTATTGCTACTATCAGAACAAAAACAGTAAATGTTTTGTCTTTTTTATATAACATATGATCATCAAGTTAAACAAGAATTCAGAACGCACAAAACGAGCCAATCAAATACAAACAAGCATTAGACGCAGCATTAGCTATTCCAATTCTGTTTATTTTTTCAAATTCATTTCATATTTTTCCTATTCCAACATCTCTCATTTTTGCGTATCAGAAACATGTTAGACTGAAATTAGGGATGTATTGTGTTTGCAAAATCAGTATTTTCAATGTCTGTATATGCCTTCAGATATGTTTAAATATGTCACGCTAAAAAAACTGACTGATCATAGTAGTTTGTTGTATATAAGTATCTCTTTCAACAACGGATGTTTTTTTAAGAGCGTTTTTGTTTAAATATTTTGAAAGATTTTCAGATACATAAAAAAATTTGCAAATCACGCAACAGCAACAAAAAGGTCCATGAACATGAACGTCGTCGTTGTTATCGGGTATATATGATTATTTTACGTCCTGTTGATAAGTATAAAGGTTCTGTATACATTTTCGTTATTCATAATTCAGCGGTACTTACTACCTTAGAGAATGATGGCTTGTTACAATTCAGTTAAAGCTATTATGTTTCTTACTGTAGTGTGCTACTCAACAGCAAGTGAACCCGATATAGAGCCGGCATGTTCAAAATTCAAATATGACAAACAAATGTTAGAGACAATGGTCAGAATGGAAGCTAAAATGAATCAGTTGGATAAAGAAAAGGAAACCTTTGAAGAGAACATGCTGTCTATAATGGCACATCGGAAGGAGGAAATGAAACGAGAGTTTTTGAATCAAAAACAACAGATTGGCCAAATGCTTGATGACTACGAGAAGATCCGTGAGGATCTCAATGACAAAGCGACTCAGCTTGAAAAGCTTGCTGGTAAGTAGACCAATATTGTACTTTACATTCATTTCTGCTTATATATTGATCAACAGCTAATGTTAAATGGATAAATGATGAACAGATCATTATTCTAGATCTAGATTCACTTTCTATAATAAATACAAATTGTAGAAAAAGGTAGTTTAATGAATCATTATCAAACTGGACTAAAAAGGCGGTAACATTGAATCATTTTAAAGCAAAGTATAAATATATTACATCCAAGTTCAAGAGAATGAAACGTTTCTTATTGAAAGTTCAAGCTGGCAATTTTCTCAACATTTTCAATCTTTATACATTTTAATAAGAATTCTTTTCCGTTGCGTTTACAAATATTTATCACAGGTTTAACAAAGTTTAAACATAATATCAAAACCAAGAATCATTAACATTGATTATAAAATCAATTTCTTAATATTTTGCTTCAGGTAATTTCACAAAAACACAGATAATAGCGTTTAATGCATACACAATGTCCAGTAAAAACTATAACAGCGGTCAAACTATTGTTTTCCCTGACGTTTTACTTAACGAAGGTGGTGGATATGACAAAACATCTGGAATGTTCACAGCACCTGTGGCTGGTCTGTACTATTTCAGCGTTCACATATGTAATGCACTAGCAAAATATATGGTCGCAGCTATTGTTCATGGAAATACTACAGTTGCAAGTACAGTTGAATATGGAAGAAGTGGAACAACCTGTAGCGCGGTCATGGCTCCGGTAAAATTGGTTGTTGGTGAACGCGTGTACGTAAAAAGTACAATTAACAGCGCCTTAGTAGCTGATTCTTACAGATGGCCGTCCTTCAACGGTGTTCTGTTTAATAATTAAACACATATTACGATACGAATATTGAAATAGTAATAGTATATGTTTCGGTGTCATAGTGGTGTAATATAACAGCAGCGGGCTCCATAAACTGTGATACTATTTCTAGTTACCGGGTTTATTAATAGCTGAATGTGTAAAGAATAATTTATAAATACAAGCACAGATTTTATAAAAAAATGTTATTTAGACATATTATTTATGTAGCATTCATCAATGTATTTATAACGCACTTTTAACTTTGAGCAAATTGTTTTATCATTGTACTTTAAATGACATTTTTATGAACTTTACTCATATTCAATGCGGTATACCGTACCCCGGATATTTTCATCCCATTTCGCGACTTTGAACGGGGAACGAAGATAAAGTCAGCGACGACATTTTCCAAACTAATGGCTATTTCATTTATCTAAACGGGTATTATATATCTTGAGATATTGTTGTAGCTCTAAAACGCGTAACAGTATTACAGGTGTTTGTAAAATTGATTAAACTACCCCTAAACCATCCGCTGCTCACTAGAAAATACTGACCGCGAAACTGTTGAATCGTTAGAAATTATTATATTACCAATATATAAAAAATGAACCGAGCAATTTTTTTTACTCAAAATGCAAGTTTGCTTTGTCCAAATTTCAGGCAAAAAGTGTGAAAGTACAAAAAGATACAGGCAAAAAAAGATACAAGAAAGTATACCTAGTATTGATTTAAAGTGTACTGAGTTTTGCAAAATAGCCCAACTTTAGTGTACAGTGCATTACAAAACAGAATGAGCACATTAGTATGGAAAATGGATATTTTTGTCTAAATTTCACGTCTGTTTATCGATTCCATTTCATTTTGCTGATAATGTACTGTTTATATGACATTTATTCAAATATTTCAGATTTAACAATGCATTTTCAGTGTTATACCTGTTCTTTTCCTACTGGCAATCAAGAGATTTAATTTCCCATTTGATTGAAAAATCACACTATGGAGCAAATTAAATGTGTGCAGGGTCGGAAGCAGGTCGGGAGCAGGGTAGAACCATCAAAATTGATGATAAAGATCTTTTAATTCATCTCTCAAGAAACTGTGATCAAGGTGACCAATCTCTGAAAAGAAGAAGAATAACAAAACATATTTAGATGACATAAATAATAGGTTTTTACAGGGCAAGTTTGTCTTAAGAAACATGTCGACATACTTAGTAAAATATTGGCCTTAGTGCTTATGCCGTCCAAGCATGCCGGTATCGTCTTAAGAGCATTGCGAAAAATGGCTGTTTTAATTGAATAAAGCCTCTTGTTACAAGTTTAAACTGCTATGAAACTATAAAAAAATGCTGCTTCAATACTGATCAAACTAGGCACTAATGTCTGGACAATAGCCTGTGGAAAAGCATGCTCAATTTTAAATTTCCAGTTACCATGGCAACGGGGGACGTCTCAAAATTGCCAAAAATCTCTATTTTTCGTTGTTTTTCCTCATCAAAACTGACTTCAAGTTGCAGCAACTTCTCAATTGATTGAAATAAAGTCTAAGGTTTTCGGCGTTGATTACACGGTACCCATAAATCGACCTGAGGCCATTTAAGCCTCCCCCACAAGTACCAAAATTCTCGGCCCCACTTAAAAACCCCAAACAGAAGGGCACATCCCCCTGCCGCACCCCCTCTTGATATAAATTTTTAATGGGTGGGGTGGCGCCGAAAAAGTGATCACTCTTTTGAACACCATTTCTCAAACGAAAAAAATATGTTTGGGGCCTATATAGCGCATGTTTACACTATTTGAGGCCTCAAAAGGCGGGCAACTCCAACGCAATACTCGGAACACTGACATGTGTGTTTATTCTCAAAATGTCATCTGGGGTTCTATTGTTGATTGATCAGTTACAACATAAACATCATCATTCAAGGAAGTTTTAAGGAAGTATATGCACAGAAACATCAAATTTGTATGATCCGAGCCCATTTATCACATGAGCAAAGAGACGAATTTTACCTCCTAATTACATTTCAAAGATATTTCTCGACATTTTTGGGTTTTCAATAACTTGAAAATTATCGAAGAAATTGTTTTTCTATAAAATTCATATCAATAAAATAGAGAATTACAGAATCCCTAAAGAAAGCCAAACACGACAAAATTGAAAATGTTGCAGGCTCGGTTTGATTGAGCCTGTTCATGGACGGTACTGGAAAGTGCAAGTTACCGTCCACGCCCCCTAGCATGGCTTAAGCAGAATTCAACATGGTGAAATTTTGAATTTAAAAACATCCGCAGATGTTCAAACCAATTCAAAATGATTAAATATCATCACTTAACTTACATTCTATCCTCGTTCAAAGTAGCGAAATAGGATGAAAATCCTCATAATATCAAACAATATCTGGGGTACGGTATACCGCAGTAATATTTCTACCCCAAATTATTTATCGGCTCCAGTTTGTTTGAAGATGATAATTGTGAAAGTTGTCTTCATGGCTGAATGTGAAAGTTGTCTTCTTTTTTATACATTATCATAATTACTAACAAACTACCTTCCTTCTTAGAAATCTTTATACACAAGTTGATAAGAAATGTTTGAGATCTGTAAATGGTGTGAGAGTTTTAACTCTTTGTATTGTCTTATGCAAATATATTTATGCTTAATAAAAAGAATAAGCCATTTTCTAGCAGTTTCTATTCTTTTCTTTTGAAATGATCTGTACCAGCTCTTGTCAAATTTGTTTTTGATTATTAAAGAGGTCGTACTGAAAGGTGGCGTTCAATGAACGCGACCCCAGCGAGCATCAGCGGCAAGGAGCCCAGGGGGACCCGGAACAAAAAAGGAAGAACAGGGTATAAAGTAGAGCGCGACCACCAGCCCCTCCGTGTAACAGTTAATAATTCTTTTCGTTGGGTTTTACGTTGCACCAAAACGTTATATGTTATATGTTGGCTTCAAAGCTTTACTGATGGAAGAAGACCTTAGGTGCCTTTCGGTGTATTTTTTTTCAGATACAAACGGGCACCTAAGTAGAACCACGGATGTTCCGTAAGGTAGCTATATAGCCTTCTCACATAAAATTATCTTAGTGTGCTTGCGTGGCTAGAACATACATCAGTGAGAGAATGTTTAGTGTAGAAACATAAACTGAGAAAGTCAAACAAATAAAAAGAATTTAGTTGTCGCTGTTTTGCGTTTCATTTCAATATCTTAATAATTATTGTTATAAAGTATTAATCATTTGAAAACACAAGTTTTCAACTTGACTCCTCCTGGACTCCTTGCCGCTGACTTTTGTTGCTGGGTCGGGTGGGGGCTGTGTTCATTGAACGCCGCCTTTCCTTGATGATCTTGTTTATCATATTCAACTTAAAGTAAGAACTTAGAATTAAATGTTTGTTTGTTTGTTTAATTTTACGCCTTTTCCCAACAGTATTTCAGTCATATAGGTGGGTAGTTTCCTAACCATCGTTCCTGGAGAGTTATACCAGTACCAGACTACCTTCCTCCGCGCTAAACTACCAAAGCATCTCCCGGGGATCGAACCCACGCCAGAGAGGTAACTGGATAGAATTAAATTGTTTTGACTGTTTTGACAAGGTTTGCGTTGTCTTTGTTGTTTTTAGTCATTTAAAAACAATGGACTTTTTATTTCGGTAAAATTGAATTGATTGCTTTTGTTTTCGCCCTGTAGAAAATTATATTATTCAGCATATCATAAATATCACTGCTGGAAAAAATATAATATATGAAATTTCATAATTATTCAAAATAAACAGCATCAACAAGGATTAACTGAAATAAGATACAATTGTGAAATCCTCTCCTATCCCCTTGTGCTGCGTTCTACGCTTGGTTCATAACCGGTAGATATGTGACTCGCTGTGTTCTATGAACGTCGCCGTTGCCTTGATAATCATTTTTTATTCGAAGCGCATGCAGAAAAGGCATTTAAACAGCTAGAAGACAGAATGATATATTTAGTGCTGTAACAAGAGATTTTTTTTTAATTTATATTGTTTTGTCATGGTTGTTTGTTTTCTTATGCTCATATAGTCTACAATTCGTAACGAAATAACTCGTTGGTCTAGCCAAAACGTCCAGAGTTCAAGACATTCTGTACAGAACATTGTGTCCTAGTATTTATTCTAATGCCCAGAGTCATTTATGTCATAAACTGTTATTTTTTTATATTCTTATTTTGCCACTTTACCTGCCAATGACATTAGAATATTAATAGTACAAGCAGCGATTGTTTCTTGATGACACGCCACTTATCAATCCATTTGTCAGCATTAAAATAATATGCAGCTTTCTTATTTTCTTATTTATATGATAATATACAATTTTCGAAATGTTTAACCTGTATGTTTAGTTTATTCTATGCAAAGAGATAATATAGAAAGAGGACATGAGAGCGATGAAAACTAAGTAAACGCATAACAATTACAGACTCGGTTTCAATGAAATAGAGAAAGCAAGTATCCTTAAAGAAAGTCCTACACAACATAATTGAAAATGTTGCAGGCTCGGCTCGATTGAGCTTGTTTATGGACGGATCTGTTTACTGCAAACTACCGCCACGACCCTAGCACCAGTTTAAGCAGATTCTGTTCATGAGAGAGAATCTAATGTACATTAGCTATCACTTGCTTCATAAATATTCTGCAATTTGTAATGACTATGACCATTCCCGACGTCTTAATCATTTCATAAACTCTTTCGATTGCCTCATTTCATAGGAAAGGTACTACCGATGAACCTGTACATATGTATGCACATGGCACGAAATATTTTGGATATCTGTTAGCAAGAATAAGTAAAGAATGTTTTGATTCGAAGTTATAATTAAATGATCATTATATTTTTATCTAAAACTGAGATATACGTAAATAGACAACCTTCTTCAAAGGAAGTTTTAGACTACAGACAACACGTGGTAGAAAAATCAGTTGCAAAGAGGTAACCTATGAGCTGCGAAACCCAAAGTTTGGAGATTTCGACTATATAGTCATATGTTAGAAGATTATATAAAAGAAAAAGAGTTCATGCAATGATTGTGGTGTATACATGATGCATTCACTAGTTTGATTATGCCTAGAGACCATGCCGAGTCAATGGGCGAAGTAAAACATTGGGATATTGTTTATTTTGTTTTGGAGTTAAGTTATAAATGCTTGTTTATATACCAATTGTTACCACCTCTGGCCTTCAGTTTCGGTGATCATATTCAATGATATGCTTGTGATCTTTTACAATCATATGCTTAAGCTGAGATAAAAATCCTTAATAATGATATAATATTCAAGAAAATTCAGGAAACAAAGTGATCCCTCGGCAGTATTAATCACAACAAAATTACATAAGAATTGCAGACTCGGTTTGATTGAGTCTTTACATGAGAGATATTTTTTCTTATATATTTGTTTTCTATAATAATGGTTTGCTGCATATGTATAGAGGGCTTTGAGAATTCCCGTTAATCGGCTGTTAATATGTGTTTTTCTTATTTTGTCAATTACATTTGCCTTTTGCAAAAGTAATATGTATTATAAAATCCGGGACATTTCCTTTGAATATTACAAAATAGAAATGACAGACATCATAACGTCCATAACGTGTTGTGTTCCGTGGTGTGATATTTTTCTTTCGCTCTCAGTCGCCGATTTGTCCTAAAACGTAATGCAGACACAAGTGTAAATCAAATGACAGCTATTAACCAAATCATTTATAACAATATAATTTAAAGAATACTATTTTTCACACTAATGTTTTCACACTTTAATCAAAGTTTTGAACATATATGCTTGCCAATTTGTGATTTTAACGTAAGCCAAGTTAAATAATTACTGTTAATTCACATTCTGTAGGTTTAACAATTTCATATAAAATCATCGGTATCACCGTTTTAGAAGTAAGTTAATTTAATTTATAAGTTCCGAAATATAGAATAACAATAGGAAGAACAGTTGGCTTACTTCGAAACATTGAATATATTTTGATTTTGGACGATTCTAGATACAAAGAGTTACGAATTTAAAAAGTTATACTGAATTATAAGGTCGTTTTTGACAAAATCCACTTAAAACTTTAGCGATTTTAACGTTGTACCGCCTAAACGAAGGCTGGTCCCGACTCTTTGGGTTGTATGGAATTAGTTTCCTCTCGGATATAACGATATCCGGCTATATCAAAACAAATTGAACGGTTACCTGAATATCGTTATAAGCGGGGTTTTATGTCATTAGATATTTCATGGAATGTCATTACAAAAATAGTGCAGTGAACTTTCCAATGACCACAGTCTGCTGCTCCGTTAATATTTGCAATGAAACGGCAGTATTTGTTTTACAAATTAAAGCAAGACTTTAAACGATTTACGTTCCACCTTAAAACCAATTGTACCTTTATTGTGTATTTTTTCATTTATTTCATATTTCAAAAACATATAAATACAACCATTCTCATTTACATACAACATTTGTAACTAAATATAAAACATATCCATCTCATTTAAAAACACATTCATTAACCAAACATTCATGAGGTTGATACGACAGAAACTCCACAAAGAAAACAAATGAAAAAACAAACTTTCAAAAAATAAAGAAAGAAAAAGAATAAATCTACTTAAAAAACTATCATTCTTACACTTAACACACACACACCAACACACACCAACACACACACACACACACACACACACACACATACAAAAGAAAGGAGAAAAAAGAGACAAGTGAATCAGTTTCATTTATCTTTTTACGTTTTAAGGTTTAATTTACATAATATTACTGTTTTGGTCATCAGTATTGTTTGTTAAAGTGTTAGATAGTTTACTCCATTTTTGTTTGTACGATTTAATTTTATCATTTGACAATGCAATTGCTTCTTCAATCTGTATCCTTAACAGAAAAGTTTTTAAAAATAATGTAGTGGGCTTACTTCTTTGATATTTCATTTTTAAAATGTAATATTTCATTAGAATAATGATATAATTTACTATTTTATATTGGTTGTAAGCTCTCCAAAAAACACTGTTTCTTTACTGTATGAAAAATGAAGATTAACGGACAAGAGAAAAGAATGCAAGTTTGACCATAAATTTTGCACAATATTACATTCCCTAAATAGATAATGAAGTGTTTCTAAACTACTGCAGCAAAAATCACACAAATTTAAATTGCATAGATTATATTTGAAAAGCATAGTGTTTGTTGCAGTAAGTCTATGGATAAACTTATACTGAAAATTTCTTAATGTCACATCTATAGTACATTGTAGTGGTATAGTTTATATCTTATTCAAATTCAATTCTATATCTATTTCTTTTTCCCATTGCTCTTCATTTTTATTTTTTACCTTCTCATCATTTTCAAGTTGGATATTATATAAAAGTTTATTTATTGTTTTGGATTTTTGAATTTTAATTGTATCTTTATTGTTGTCAAGATCATATCTGTAATGTATCAAATATTTCTGATAGTAATGTATTAAATCTATCATATAACGGTATATTCTAAATCAAAATCTTTTATAATATCGGGTTAACTGGTTTTATTTTAAAATAATGTACGATCACCAAGCTAGGCATGATTCAGAAAGCGTGAACAAGCCAGGCGAATACAAACAAGCATAAGGCAAAAAGCTATTGCAAACTTTAGTTTACTTTTTCATTATCATTTCATGTTGTTATTATTACATTATGTCTCATTTTCTCATATCAGAAGCATGTTAAAGCGATGATCAGACTATCAAAATGTATAGTTTGTACGTTTGCAATACCATTATTTTCAGTGTGCAAGTGTATCCACATATATTTGTAAACATGTCAGGTTAAAAACAACTGATTGAATATACTCGTTTAAAAGTATTTCTTTCAACAACGGACGTAATGTTTTGAGTGATGTTGGTTTTCAATTTTTGAAATATTTTTAGATACATAAACAAAAAAGAATATTTTCAAATCACGCAACAGCAACAAAAAGGTTCATGAAAATGAACATCGTCGTTGTTATCGGGTATATTTCATTATTTTACGTCCTGTAAAAAGTATAAAGTGTCTGTATTATTATTTCTTTATTCATAATTCGCTGGTACTTGCAACCTTAGAGAAGGATGGCTGGATACTATTCATTTGAAGCTATTGTGTTTCTTACCGTACTGTGCTACTCAGCAGCAAGTGAACCCGATATCGAAACGCAATGTTCAAAATTCAAATATGACAAACAAATGTTGGAGACAATGGTCAGAATGGAAGCGAAAATGAATCAGTGGGATAAAGAAAAGGAAAACTTTGAAGAGAACATGTTGTCTATAATGGAACATCGGAAGGTGGAAATGAAACGAGAGTTTGTAAAACAAAATGAACAGATCGGTCAAATGCTTGATGACTATGAGAAGATCCGCGAAGAACTCAATTACATAACAGCTCAGTTTGAAAAAGTTGCTGGTAAGTAGAACAATGTTGTAGTTTATTGCTACTAATTAATCAAAAGCTTGTGTAAAATGATTAATGATAAACAGATTTAATGTCGACATAATTCTGTTTTAGATCAAGTCTGATGAAGAGTAATTCTATCTGTAATAAATATTAACCATTACTTATAGATTTAAGTTTACATAGGCCGAGGATTTCATAGTTAGATTGACGCTATGTAGAAATGAGTAGCTAAATGAATTATTATCAAACTTTATCAAGATGCGATCAACATATTATTATTTGACACAAAATATAAATTTATTACTTCCGAGTCAACAGAAAGGAACATGTCTTGCCTAATGTTCAACCTTGTAATTTTTTCTCAACATTTACAATCTTTATACATTTTTATTCATCAATAATTAAATATATACAAATATTTATTACCATATAAAAAAACCCTTAATTCAAGAATCATTAACATTGATAATAAAAACAATTTCATAATATTTTTGCTTCAGGTAATTTCACAAAAACACCGAAGATAGCGTTCAATGCATATATAAGGTCAGGTAGAAACTATGACAACGGCCAAACCATCGTTTTCCCTGATGTTTTACTTAACGAAGGTGGTGGATATGACAAAATCACTGGAATGTTCACAGCACCCGTGACTGGTCTGTACTATTTCAGCGTTCACATTTGTCACGAAGCAGCAAAATATGTGGTCGTAGCTATTGTTCACGGACATACTAAAGTCGCAGTAACAAGTGAATATGAAAACATTAAAGGAAGTTGTAGCTCGGTCATGGCTCCGGTAAAAATGTCAGTTGGTGAACGCGTGTACGTAAAATGTACACATCCTAGCGTGTTGCGAGCTGATTCACAATATAGGTGGCCGTCCTTCACCGGTGTTCTTTTGAATATGTAAAAAGAAGTCGGACTGTTGACGATAATATTTATTCATACGAAAATTCAAATTGTACAGATACATTTTTCTGTTTCTTGGTGCTGTAATATAAAAGCAGCGTACTCTCTATACCTAATGAAGATAACATACCTGAACACATTATATTGTATTACACTGTTTTTTATAATTCTTTTTTATAAAATATAGATAATTTATATTTGAATAAGTTTCACGGCTAAGACTACTTCTTAATTGTTTTCAAATATTAAAAACCTTAGAATTCATTGTCGAATTTTATGAAATGAATGTCAATTTGTCAGATGCTTGTTACCTGACAAAAGTAGCGATAAATGTGGAATTATTTGCCATAAAAGTAAAAATGTAAAATGTAACAATGTAGTATTCTGACTTCCATACTATTATCAATGCACATAAACTGTACTCATTGTCAAAAAGCAAGCAATAAAAAAAGTGGTTAATGTAATTTGCAAATGAGTAACTTTTCGGATAATAAAATTAAAACCAATATTAAAAGAATTTGATCTATAAAATTAAATTGGTCTATTGAAAAGTTAGCAGTGTGAACCTTATGAGCCGACAATCGATTACATACATGTATATACATGTATTGGTATCTAACGTTTTAAGTAATTCAACACATTTATGTCTTTTTTTCTCGTTTTATGATTTCACATTTGACATATCAGTAATGTATAAATAATAACTGATGTAAAATGATAAAACTTTTTTTGTGTTACTTAATCAAAAATATATGTCTTAAATTTTACATTTAATCATTTATTACAATTTTTTCTGCATTTTGATACTAATACGAATTTTCTTTATTTTTTTCAAAATTATTTAAATATAATTAAGACAATTTATTTGGGAGTTATTATACATATATTTTATATCAATTTGTATATTCATCATATTCTTGTTAACCCTTTGATGGTTAATGAACAGGACACCGAAAATCAAATTAGATAAGTTTATCAAAGGTACACTTGTGTTTATTTTGAAATGTTATAAAATGGTAAAAAAAATCTTATTCATGTTCTGTTATATTCATTATAAAATATAATGTTTTCAATGAATTGTGGCTTCATAACATACCTTACTGAAGCTGTATCGGATTCCTAGGTGTTGTTTTTTTATTTCGTGTACGTCTCAATATCTAATGATTGAATGACGACTGCAATATTAATAACATATAGATTCATCAGCCCTTTTATGTCTTTTCAGGAAATTCACTTGTTTTAACATGTTTTTAATTCAAAAAGGTATGCACGATGTGTAAATAATAATTTATAAATTTGAACACATGTTTAAGAAAACATTGTCATAACGACATAATTATCATATTTGTTGCATCTGCACATGTGCTTATACGGCACTTTACACTTTATCATTGTACTTTTAATTATATTTTTTATGACATTAACTCATATTTCTACACCAAATAATGTATTGGATAATCAGTTTAAAAATAGTGATTGTAAAAGTTGTGTACTTGAGAAGGTTTCTTACTTTTTATGCCTAATTGATTACTTTCCCATCTTAAGAATCATTTCACGCCAGTTGTTCAACGATGTTAGTGATTTGTAAATTGTTGCCACACATTTCATCTGCGTGCTTATACATTCTAATTGTACTGACGGATTATTGTTGTAGTTTTTAGCTTGACCTTTTTTTAGAAACAAAATACAGGTATGCTACGGTCATGTAAGCGTTGCCGTTGCCGGTTGCAGTTGCCGTTGCCGTCCGCAGACTTGTACCTTGATCTTAACATTTTTAATTCTTCGTGTATTGTCTTCATTCTTAGATGCAACAACCCTTGTGACAAGACTCTTTTGTATAGCGGATTAATCTTGATCTTCATCTATAATGACATTGACCTTCAAGGTCAAATGCAGGAATTTTGCTTGCTTTTTGCTGTAAGTGGCTATAACTTTGTATTTTTTAATGGATTCTTTTCAAACTTGAAGATAATTATCTTTTTATGATAATCATTGAAGTGAGCTAGACAGATCTTCACATTCATTCATTGATGGCATTGACTTTGAAGGTCAAAATATTGACATTTTCAGTGATTTGCTTTAACTGATTGTAACTTTGTAATTTTTGAATGGATTCTCTTAATATAAAAACAGAACATTTAGGGATAAAACTATCATGTTTATCAAACTCAAATTGACCTTGGCATTTATGACCTTATCTTTGAAGGTTAAATTATTGAATGTTCACTGAATTTTGCTTAAATTGACTGCAACATAGTAAATAATAAATAGATCATTATCTTCCTACATGGACAAAACAACATTTTGGACAGGAACTTCTGAAAGGTTGATTGCTTTTATTGAACGCTTCCTTTCATTGTTGATCTTGTTCACCATATTTTTTACTGACATGGACCTTGAATTTTCAAATGGCCTTGACAGATAAGGTGAAATTATTGACTGTTGTGTTTGATTGTCGCAATTTTGTTATTTATGTTCGAATTTGAGTTAAATATGCTGCCAAAAAATAAAAGAAATATATATATTAAATAATCTAGATGTGATCCTGACTTAAAATTGACCGTGACTGTCAATGTCCAATTAATGAATATCTCTTGTTTTTGTTCTTTTGTAACTGGCTTTAGCTTTGTTATTTATATTTTATATTTATATTATTTATAATGATTATCGCTATAAGTGGATTAAACTAAATAAATGGATTAATCAGTAATTAGTCGTTCAGCAAATTTGTGAACCCGTCTACCACTATGTCAATCGGTGAAAATTAAATATTGTCCTCTATATTATTTATGAAGTCAAGGTTGATAAAGTTGCGCGATGTGAACGAGATGGTCGTTTTACTATCCCAATTACTTTTTTCTGTTCTGATATTTCGAATTTGCATTGGAATCTGTTTTGCAATCTACTGGATAGAGAGCAACCTTTGAAAGAGTATACATTATTTAAACATGAGTTCATCGAACTCGAAATATGTTATATTTTCGAAATCGGCAATATGCAATAAACTTAAAGTAAATCAACAGTTCTTAAACCCTGATCGGAACAAAAAGTAAAATAGTCAGTTTCATTAAAAATGCGACAGCTAGCTATTAACAATCCCGTGACCTTGATTGCTATAAATCGAGTAATCGCTTGCCATTTTGATCTTTGATCTATCTATGTGAACAGGAATGGGGTTATTTGTATACATATAAAAACAACGGCATTTTGATCTAAACATTTATCGTTAGTAATCAAATTTTCAGCATCAGCAGCTCTGCTATCTGATCGTCGTTGACATATATTTTCTGACTGTTGCACTGTTAATTTCGTAAACTTTTGTTCATTTATAATTTCTTTCTACAAGGAAGTCTTCCTTGTTACATACAAGTGATCATTATAGAAATATGTCACTGTAGAAAACTATGTTGTAATGTATATATTTTGATTTTGTCTCTTTAACACTGTTGGTCAAAAGGATAAAATGATTGACATAACTAAAGGCCTATTATGCCTAAAAAATACTACCATTTGTATATCACAAAAAGCTTTTAAATCTTTGGTTTATCACAGTCTTAAAAATAATAATCATTTACCATAAAGATGAACTTTTTTGCTTCTTCTGCTTTGTTGGCTATTGGTTCAATTGTAGTGAAGTATTTTGTATGGAACTTAAAATACGACACATAATGGCATATTCAGCTCTACTTTATTCTAGCATGATTTAAATCCATCATAAAACGTACGTAAACCAATGTTTGGCATTGCCAAAGAATTTAATAAACATGGATTTGTAAGGCAAAACCTGCCTTTTAAAAGTTTTACTAGTATCCGTGTCAGTACCTATTCTCCATGTATGTAACATGGAATAAAATTTAAAACAATCTAAACTGTAACACTTTTGTACAGTTCATTATTTTTAAGGCCATGTAATTTAAATCATTCTGTAAACATATTTAGGTAGAGAAACAAAACCAATACACATTTATTGCTGCAATTTAGATACGTAAACGTATATTAAATATCACAAATAAATTTTGCTTTAAAAAGATGACGCATAATGATTGAATTTATTTTATTTCATTTGAAAATAGCAGGGGCATCCATGTTTATCTTGCTAGCTGTGACTTAAAAATAAAATAGTATAACAATATGGTAACAAAGGACACTTATTTTCCTGTTTACGAGAGAGTTTTGTCCGATAAGTTTTGACACTTGTTCAAGTTGCTATCAAGTACACAAAATATATCGTTGCAACCGGTTAAAACTTAAGTTGTTTAAAAGTGCCAATATATATAGTATGCTGGTATTTCTGAGAGTAGTGCAATTATAATAACTCTAGTTTCATATATCAGTGTTTAAGCCTTAAGTGTTATTTTTATTTTGTAATTGATCAAACCATCGTGTGTGGTAATGTAGCTTTAAGGTTATCATTTGATCACTCGGATTGTCACATGAATAAAGTAAATAATTTGAAACAGTTACTATAAAATTTGATATGTTTCTTTCTTCCTTATTATTTGATATATTGTGTCAACAATAATCCTTAATTTTATATTATTTTGTTTTTAAAATAGAAAAATATTTGCGTATTTAATATGCACCCTTTCATGTAGGAAATTTTAATTACTCACCGAAAATTATCTGAAAACACATGTAATGGCAAGTTGTACATATGTAATGGAATGCTATTGCAGTAAAGTTTACACACTATCAAGGTAAATAGTGTTGATATTTTTATATTTTTTCCTAAAAGCAAGTTTACTCCATCTTGTTCTCGATGTTGCGTTTAGATTTTGGGCCATGAATGCTGTGTTGATAGCAGCGACCTACAGATAATTGGAAATACACCTTAAATATATTTTCATTCGAATATCGAATACCGTTTTAAGATCCAATACCACTTTTCTTATTGCTCGAGGTTTGGTGCTTGGAGTTGGTGCTTGGAGTTTTTAATCATTGTCAGAGCCTCAGGCGTGCGAGTTGCAATTCTTTGTCGAGTTGTTGTTACTTACACCTGCGTTATAAAGGTTTAAAAATTATTAAATTGAAAATTATATAGTCAATGCTTTACAAAAGAAAACTTCCCATGTGCACGATTTTCTTTTCTACAAAGGGGCTTATGGCTTAGAGTTGTACGTTGTCAGTGCTAAGGGGGGGGGGGGGAGTGTTTAATCGGATAGAATTTTTGAAATTTCTGAGGGTCTCCTGATCACCATCATGAATAAACAAAACACTAATGCTGTTAATACTCTTGTCTTTTCAGAACAGGAAGTTCTAAACTAGTATATTGATATTTATTGTGCTAATCAGAGTATTGTGTGTCTTTACATTAATGCATTAACAGCACTAAAAGACAAAAATATAATTTTAAAATGAATACAAAAGTTATGAAATCCTGTAATTTGAGTGTTTTTAGAAGTTCACAAGTCGTTTTATATCTATAGCCTTACCTGCACCTAACATAAAACTATAAGATAGGAAGGGTACTGTCTAAGACCGTGCACATATTAGTGCACATCGTACGAAATATTTGGCTTATGTATTTGCAAGTATCAATGAATTTGAATTCAAGTTATTATTTTAGATCAATCAAGTTTTGTCTAAAGCTTTAAAGTTTAATATTTACGCAAATAGCCAACCTATAGAAACCACTAAAAGACTTTTGGCATAGTATAACATCTAGATATTGTTTAGCTGGCTGTGAATGTGCAGGTATAGATGCTATAAAGTAGCGATTATTTCCTTCCCTGACTGCCATTCTGGTGGTCATTCCCGATATATCATTTGTTTAAGATAAGATAAACATTCATTATAATTATATTACTTCACGGCGAAATGAAAGTCTTTTACATAATTGGTAATATGTATAAAAGAATGTGAGAATTCTCGTAATTTGGCTGCTATTACGTTTTTTTCTCACTTTTTGTTTACTTTATTATTTATAATATTGACCTTACCCTACAAACAGGCTACTACATAAGGCAAATGAGATAAATATTATAAAAAGTCTCCTTAAAGGCTGCTTAAACCGTTTTACCTTTCATATCCAAATATTTATACACTATTGAATACAATACTTAGCCATTACCAATGGTAAAATATCCACTACGAAAACCTGATTGGGCATTAGTCATTTTATGTAGAGCCTTAGAGTAAAAAGTTACACGAGTTGTTAATATACTAATTTTCTAATATAACTTACTAAAATAACTTAAAGAGCAATACCTTTGTCATAATCTGCGTTTAAATTGTTCCCTTTTTTAAAAAGAGAGATATAATTTTTTCTGACCAATTTGAAGGAAATTCACCTTAAGTGTAGAGCCTATTTGAAAGAGCTTCACAATATAAGGAATTAAAATGGTTATACCAAAAATAAAATGTTCTGCTACAAAATAACATGAAGAAGATATTTAAGGATTAATATTTTTCAGGGCCTCAAGAATTTCATCATCAGTTATGTCACTATTAAACAAACTGTCTTTAATACCATCACATATAAGATCATCAGTTTCATTAATATCATCAACACTAGTTTCAGTTTTACTAATGAACAGCAGTGTTTTAAATGTTCATACCATTGATCAAATGTGATATCTGGAAGACACTTTACCCTATTTGTCATTCTGTTAGAATTTCTCCAGAAAAGTTTGGCATCACAAGCAGTTGATTCCAGTTTTCCCATTAAAACAACAGTATAAGGCTATTGAAATTTAAATCTTAAGCATGATTGTATTACTGCCATCTAGTTACCAGAATTATTTAAAGCAAAATAATGTTAATATCTTATTTTTCATTCGTCAATCTATCAATTTGAAAGTGATTAAATGATTACCAAGTTGTGATTTTTTTACAGGTGCCAAGATAGATAATCACTTCGCATTCACATTCTGATGTCCTGTTATCCTTATAACGCCTTTCAAGGAACCGCTTTCGAAAAAGAAATTTCAATTGATGCAACAACAATTGTACAAGAAAAGTGTTAAAAAATTGTTCGGAGTTCCAAGTTTTGAAGTTTTTGGAATACAGAATAATTTGAAGAAGCGGAGAAAAACAGTTGTGCAACTTCAAATCAATAAAAATATTCGGAATTTATACGCTTCTAGATGTAACATAAAAAGTCAAAATGAATTATAAGGTTCTTCTTGACAATATTATTACACAAGCAACTGTACTTATGACTACGTCGGCTGTAAGGATACAGGTACCAATTCCTGCTTTTGTTTGTTTATATTGTTTGTTTGTAACTTTCTTTAGTTGATTGCCTCCCGGATATAACGATATCTGGCTATAGCGAAATAAGTTTGAATTTTGTTATAAGCAAAAAACAAATAATAAGGAAATCATGTAATATCGGAAAAAGTGTATTAATCAGAACAAATTACATGAAATTTACAAACTCGGTTTTATTGTCTCTACATAGGGGACAATGAAAAAGTGCAACATCCCTTTCGATCCCTTAAACTGGTTTTAGGGTGTATACCATTTCCAACAACAAAAAGTTCCCGAAGGATAAGAAAATGACGTAAGTCTAGAATTAGGGATTTTTGGTCTTAAAATGATCAGTATTTTCAGTATGTGTGTGTGTGTGTGTGTGTGTGTGTGTGTGTGTGTGTGTGTGTGTGTGTGTGTGTGTGTGTGTGTGTGTGTGTGTGTGTGTGTGTGTGTGTGTGTGTGTTTACAGTTTTTTTTGTGAATATGTTACCCTAAAAACACTGATTGATCGTAGTTGTACATATTATATAACTATTTTCAAAGCGAATGTTTTGTATTGCGTGATGTTTTCTGTCTGTTTCTGAAAGATTTTTAGATATATGAATAAAAAGAAAAAAATGCAAATCACGCAACATCAACAAACAAAGTCCATGGACATGAACATCGTCGTTGTTATCGGGTATTTGAAAATATTTAACGTCCTGCTTTAAAGTATAAAGTGTCTGTAGACATTCTTCCTTATTCATTATTCACTGGTATTTGCTATCTAAGAGAAGGATGGCTTGTTACAATTCAGTTAGAGCTTTTTTGTTTCTTACTTTAGTGTGCTACTCAACAGCAAGTGAACCCGATATAGAGCCGGAATGTTCAAAACTCGAATATGACAAAAAAATGTTGGAGACAATGGTCAGAATGGAAGCTAAAATGAATCAGTGGGATAAAGAAAAGGAAAACTTTGAAGAGAACATGCTGTCTATAATGGAACATCGGAAGGAGGAAATGAAACGAGAGTTTTTGAATCAAAAACAGCAGATTGGTCAAATGATTGATGACTACAAGAAGATTCGTGAAGAACTCAAAGCGGCTCAGCGTGAAAAGCTAGCTGGTAAGTAGATTATAATTGACATTTCCATTTATTTATGCTATTTATTCAAAAGCTTACGTCAAATTGATTAATGTTGAACATATTTAATTCCACATTATTGTATGAAATAATTCTGTTTTAGAGCCTGATGTAGTATGATTTTTATATATAATAAGTATTGATCGATGCCCAATAAAACAAAGTTCATCTATTCGGAGGATCCAGTGGTTTTTGTTAAAATAAAAAGCTAAATAAATTTTGATGACAGTGGATCAAACTCTATCAACATAGTATAATTTTAAAGTAAAACATCAGAGTTCAAAGGAAAGTGAAATTTTGTATTGATTTTTTAAACTGGTAAGTTTTGCAACATTTAAAATCTTTATACGTTTTGTATTTGTCAAAAAAAATATTCTCTCCGTTTCATTAACAATTACTTATCACCAATTCATTCTACATTAAAATGGCAGGTCAGTATGATTCGTTTACATAATTATGATAAGACAAAAATTATCATAAAATCAATTTCTTAACATGTTTGCTTCAGGTAATTTTACAAAAATACCGAAGATAGCATTCAACGCACGTACAAAGTACAGTAGAACTATATATGTCGTCGCTCAAACTATCGTCTTCCCCGAGGTTTTACTTAACGAAGGTGGTGGATATGACAAAATCACCGGAATCTTCACAGCACCTTTGGCTGGGCTGTACCATTTCAGCGTCCACATATGCCATGCGACGGCAAAGTTTATGGTCGTAGCTATTGTTCATATGGATACTGATGTTGCTATGACAACAGGATATGATAACGATTACAGCAGCTGCAGTTCAGCAATTGCTCTTGTTAAGATGGAGATTGGTGACCGCGTGTACGTGAAAGTTGCATACCCAAGTACGATGTACGCAGACAATTATCGATGGCCATCTTTCTCGGGCGTTCTTTTGAATATTTGAATACATTTGTTGACTGATTCAGAAGTTCAAGTGTCGCACGCTTCTTGTTTCTTTATCAGTTTTTTTTTCAGCAAATATTTTGCATTTTTTAATAATGATCATAAATATTATTATCGTACTCTTGAACTAATAATGTTACTTCCTGTTGACTAAATATGTGCAAATACACATAGAAATGATATTGATTTATTAAAAACTGTAAAACCTTTGTATAAGATTTTGAATAAACAGGACATTATTAAAGTACATGCAGGCAACGAGATAAAATTTAGATATACACATTTGTACCATGTTTACAATTCTTCTTTTTAATATGCAGATCGAATACAGCATTTAAGGCACCGACGATCAAAATAGAAAATAAAAGTAATTGCTTGAACATAACGGACAATACCGCGCCGAACACTAAAATTGTTATCCAATGTTGTTACAGGGGTTAGTACGATATAATACAATCGGTTTAACCTTAGAATACACTGTCAGGTTTATTTCATTTCTTAAGTAGTCATTTAAGGTTTTGGAAAGAAATCATCTTCAAAAAAAAAAAAACTATCACGAACCTGTATATGGTCATCGCATTCATGTTTGACAAAGACATATTTATTTAAACCTTTACAAAAAAGACAATTCATGAGCAATGTGTTATAACTTTTTACTTTAAAATGCATCGGCCATGATTCATGTCTGATGACACTTTCCTGAAAAACTTTTTACAAATCAAGTCAGTAACCTGACCCTGCCATTAAAACTAAGTAATGTTACCATTTAATGGTACGCTACTGTACTGATCAAGGGATATAACTTTTACAGCCTTTCGTACATTTGTAACAATTATTGTTACGGGTCATGTAGTGTTTCCTCGTACAATCCTATAAATTTATTTTATTATTAAGTATTTCCGAAACGTTAGAAAGGGGTAGAGTGAAGTTATCTTTGTATCTTATTTTTCTATCTTTTCTTCAATTAACATGACTGTATTTAATCACAACAATATATTATCTTATAATGAAGTTTACTATTTTAATCAATGCATAGGGAGATAAAATATTGTTTGTTAACACGTTGTTTGAGCATACGTTAACTATATACAATATTATTCTAGATGACTTTATGGGGGAAGAAAAGTTGAAATGGATGTGTGAGAGAGCAGCACACTCCCAAAATCCCCATCTAACTCAGACAGAAATCGTCCAAGGCACTTCTCCAATTCTTCTAAAAATGTAAAATCTTTTCTTCCATTATTTTGATTGTTTAGAAACAAACTCAATGTGTTTTACATAGTGTTTGTTTTTGGTGTCGTTTTGTAGTGTAACTTTGTACCGAGCGGATGATTATTATTATATAGTGCTACAAAAACATAGTGCTTCTTAAACGTAAACATATACTTTTTCTTGTTATTTCTGCGTACTGAGTTGAAATATTCATAGATGATTTTTATTTGGGGTTTTCAGCCTTATAATTAGAAAATAACTTAATGATAAAAAAATCATTAAATCCAAATCAACTTTTTTAATCCATTTAAAAAATCTTTCAAAATTTTTTTATTATAAGATACAATTTATGATTGCAAAATCTATTCTCAACCAAATATCAATCGAAAGCTTAACCTATCCTCCTTCTTTCCCCTACTTCTATATTTTAACTACCTCTTATCCTATATTTCTTTCTTAAAATACAATTCTTCGAACATGCATTAAAATAGGTCTCCATAAATCATTTGTCTGATAAATATGGCATCATTTGTACCAGATATCCGAGATTTGTGTGTACTAGTATGTATTTACTTTCTCCTACTCTTCTATTCACAGACATATTCAGACTTATTTTTAATTACCCATTTTTCAAACATTCTTCAACCAAATATTGACCATGAGGTTTCAACTGCAAGATATGTTTAGCATCAGATACTAAGATTTATGTGTAAACGTATATATATTACTGCTTTGATCTTCCTTACGGACGCAACCAAGCTACTCTACCGGATGATTATTTAAGTTGTTTTTGTTTAAACTGGGAGCCCGCTATGCCATATGTCCCAGACTATCGGCCTCTGTTACGTCGCTGGTCGTAGAGCCTGCACCGGAGGACTTAGTTCGCCTTCAACGTTGCTGATCATAGAGCTGCAACTGAGATCTTCTCTAGCCGTCTTTTCTCGTAGAGATCTTCCCTGAGACCAAGTTCTTCGCATCTTGAACGCAGATGACAATTGAAGGAAAGACACCTCTTCGGTGAGCAGCAACATGTGTAGAGCCACACCCTTCGCCGTTGGTTAGGTCACACCAGCTAAGTGACCTAACTAGATTTGTGCATTCTGAGCGACGTACACGCCGCGTAGGGAAGTCGGGGTCTAGTCTTCAGAACTTCGCAAGCTCTGATTACATATATTGTTGGGGTCAAACATTCCCCAAATGAACAAAAAAAGGAATTTTATTGAAAAAAAAAAAAACATTCTTTTATTTCTTTATTTTTTAAAAAAAAATTTATAAGCCATCTGTTACTAGAAGTTAATTTTTTCCCTTTTAAACCCGGTTTGAGAAATAAAATTTTAACCAATTTTAAAATGTAAACCCCCTTTAGAACCAAATTATTTTTTTAGCCTTTTAGGGGTTTTCTATGAAACAATAGAAAACCCAAAAATTCCCCACTCTTTTTGTCCCAGTTGAATTAAACCCAAAAATTTTAATTTTAATTTTCTTCTTTTTGTTTCCCCAAAAGCGAACCTATATAAAAGGGAAAAAAAATTTATAAAAAAGTACAAGATTTTCATTTTCCCCCAAAAGGCTTTTTTGTTTTCATTTGAGCCTAGCTTACAAAATATGTTGCTGTCTAGCGTAATCATGTAAAAGAGGCTGATAAGAAAAAAACATACGATGTTTAGAGCTCAAGAGAACAAGTTTTAGCGATTGACGTTTATTTTTAAGTCATTGTTTCGTTAAAGTGCACAACGGTCTTTTTTCTTTCCATAAAAACAAACGTTTAAATATTAGTTAAATAGAAATATCGATGTCAGTTTATGTTAAATAGTTAATTTTATATTTAGATCCTTTTCATTAGTCAAAACAGTAGGGCAGAGGTTAAAAATAACTCCGTACCAACCAAATTGTTATATCGCCTTTAAAATTATTATATTTCCATACATGATTAAAAAGTTATATAGAGGATCAGAAACAACTTTATTTGGAATATTTTCATATCGACAGTATGTGCTTATACATATATGGAAAAATTCTTTTTGATTTTTTTTTTCTTTAAATTTGAGGAATTAATTTTTATTTGAGCGGTATTTAAATTTAAATTTTTTCCCCGAGTGGGTGTACCCATGACTGAAATATGATAATTTTGATACCACAACATGAAAATTAATCGACGATATAAAATAAAACTTGTCAAGAATGAAAATTATGCTTAATAAATTAGCATTTTTATTTTCTTGATCCTACAAATCGAAAGAAATTTCGTCTGAAATTTAGTGTTTTGGCTAAATTTAGAAAAGAACAGACAAGGAAGTAACCGATGAAAATAATAAGAATATGTTTTGCAGCAGTGAAAAATATATTTTACAGTGAAAATTCAAAAAATATAAATACGCGTCATCAATTTCATCAATATTTCAAAAGTATATATTCAATTCAAATAAAATGTTTTTAACGGTATTTCCAACATGTCTATGAAGGTAGATCAAACAAACGCAAACAAAAACAACAACATTATTTCCCTATTCATTTTTTTTTTGTCCATCATTTAGTACAATAATTGTTTACCATTTAAAAGCAATTCAATTATTTCAAAACCTCTCACAAGTTATTTTGTATTTTACACGACGTATTCATTTGTTAACAATATTCAACCTTTCAAAGTTAGATAGATACACTATCTTGTTGGCCATCATAAATAAATGGGGTTGTATATAACTCTACCCTCAGCGGTTTGTCACGTCACCTTAAGGCAATTAAGTTAGCTAAAAAGTCAATAACCCAGCATAGATCTTGATCATACACTTTATGGTTAGCTTTAGTTTAGATATATGTTGTAAAGTGTTGCAATAAAAAGTTATAAATATTTGATGAGTTTCTATATATAATAACCAGTTTTATTTAAAATTGAAATTGATAATATTCGAGCTAAAGTATCCTACAAATACCTTACATCAAGTGCCATTCTGCATCCAGGATGTTCTGGACCCTGGACCCCCTACCACTGATGTAACTTATAACTATTTTGAACAAGTTTTGGCGGTTGATTTCTGCCATTTCATGTCTCCGTACAGGTGCCTTTGACACTCAAAGGGCGAAGGCAAAGTCGACGCGAAAATAAACAGTACTTTTATAGGCAAAGGCGCGAGATCTTCTTCTGCAGCATTATCGTGTCGGCGGGTGAAAATCTTCGTATTGGCGCCCAATATTTATCATATCACGAACACGACGACACGAATACTCCATAAATTGACTTTGGCCAATGATTGTGTATTTGACTTTTAGGGCGAAGGCGCGACGACACGAAAACTTGATAAATTGGCAACTTCACTAATTTTTCCTAACGCTGTTACAGATAATATTTTTATTAACCGATCGGCGACATTCAACGACTTTTAAATGGTTCAGTGACATGTTACGCAGTAAAACATTTTTATGACTCAATCAAATGTTGCATGCATGATCAATATAAGAAGTTTATATCAATTTTATATTCGTTGGTACAGTTTAAATAATACAAGCTTCCATTTAAAACGTACGATCTCAAAGGTTGAGAGGCCAGAGTGTTAATGACAAAGAAAGTTTTTGAACGATGCATAAATACACTGTAACGAAAAAAATCAATATTTTCATTTATATATGTTTATGAATAAAAAATCGATGAAAATAGTTTTAATCGAAATCTAACTGCCTAAATATGTCAACTTAAAAATAAAATATCAAATCTATTTTGAAAAATTCCGTTCCAATTCAGAAAAAGTGATAGTTTGATTTATAAACACGTCGCAATTCAATAATTGATAAGAAAATGTTCAATTTACAATAAACCTTGTTTTAATTTAATAAATGATAAAAAAGTGTTCAATTAACAATAAACCTCGTTTTAATCCAATAAATGGTCAAAAATGTTTATTCTAACACTATCGGAAAATTCTCTATATAAACAAAAAAGGCCGAAAGCATGCATTATTCTACAAAATGCACTCGCCGTTCTTATTGCTTCCCTGTGTATTTTCAAAGAAGCACATTGACGGCGCCATTTTCTTTGGAAAATCTTATGATAATAAAAAATGTTGTCGAATTTTGTTGTGAAAACTAT